TGGGGCTCGTAACTCGACAACGAGAGTCTAGAACCAAAAACGAAGGGATAAGTTTTATTCTAGAGACCCTTACGAACATTTTGATGCAAAAATCATCAAATTTGCTCAACTCTACAAAAAATAAATTGCCAATTGAGTCATTGCCTTAACAAATAAAAAAGAAATAAAAAAGAAATGAAATAATTGTAAAAGAATTTTAAAAAATACACAAAATCTTCGAGAAATAAGATTTAAATTTAAGAATTAGCCAAAAATTTTGTGTAAAACTTTTCTGAATTCATTTATCAGCAAAAAAAACTTACAATTACTGCACATTTCCATCGGCAAGCTGCTCTCGTTACCCTGAAAAATGAAGCATTTTTGAAAACACCTTTAAATATCTTTTAATAGCTGAATATCTATTATATAGCCAAATGTATTTTCGAAAAATGGCTTGAAGCAAAAAAAAGTGGTAACATGCCCACAAAAATCTGGCTTTTTCTCACCGTTATCACCTGGGTTGGCAATGGTTGCCGAGGGGAATTTTCTTTTTCTTTTCTTGTGTTTGTTTGTGTTTTTTAATGAGTAATTTGCTCATAAAATCCGTTTTTTGAATTGAATATTTCATTATCGGATTTGAAAACTTAAAAACTTAAAAACTCAGGTTTTTTTAAGATCAAAATAGCCTTAGAAAACTTCTTAGCTAGCTTTTTTACTTGCAAAGCCGAATTAACCGAATTTCTCGTTGAATATTTGGATTTGCATTTAAGAAAATGAGCCATTTAAGTTCTTATCTATCATTGTACTTTAATCTGTTTAATCTTTCTTAAAAACAAACCATTTTTGGTGATGCTTTGCTGTGAAAGCGATGAGATCAAGAAAAAGGGATGAATGAGGCGAATGGGGAGCAGAAGAAAGGATTTCAGATAATCTGAAAATTGAGAGAAATTATCATTAAATAATATTTGGATAATTTGAAACATTGAAAATGAAAGAGATTCTGTGAAAATTTTTCAAAAGCTAAAGAAAAACGCTGCATTGAAAAGTCGATGCTTGAGTGATAGTGTTGTGTTTTTGTGTTGTTATTATGGGTTCACATTCAACGTCTTTGGGCCACCATCCGCCCAAGTCTTTTGAAAAATCTCGTGGTTCCTGCCGGTCGACTCAATGAAGCATAAAGCAAAGGAGGACCAGGCAAATATTAATTTTTTGAAAAAATTGTTAATTCTTTGCAAATGGGACATTACTTTTGTGGAGCTATTTGTTAAGTAACTTATTGTTTTTGTTTTATACTTTAATTTTTCTGCAATGTATACGGATAAATCTTATAATCCTGAAAAGTAGAGTATTATGGGTAAGCAAAATACCCTACACTTTTTGGGAATATCGTCATTTTGCAAGATTTTCGTACGAAAGAAACTTTTGGATGGCAATGGGACAATATATTGTCGTATTGCAATGTATTGCAATACATTTGTGGACCACTGTATGAAAACACATCTTTTTTAGCATTTTTAGCAGTAAAGCAAGAATTTTCTAAAAATCAATGTTTTTGGTTAAAAATAGTACAGGAATTATGTGTTCCCTTGTTCAAAACATTTAGATATTTAAATTTAGCTAATAATCTCGAATTTGCATGAGGAAATGATGCTGTAAAGAGAGATTACAGTGAGATAACAGTGACATTTTGAAGTTGCCTATTTTGAAACAAAATCTCCTACAAATCAAGCGATAAGCGATCTGATTTTGGAATTGAAGCTACAAAATGGATGTGAATATGTTAAGATTGAAGGATATGACTACATTTTCAACTTTAAAAATACATTTTATTGGGAATAAGCTTAAAAACAAATACAACCTACAATCAACACCTATTTACGAGTCATTGTTTACTAGAATGTGTCCTTTTCTGTCTTGTCCTACTGTGGTCGGCCACATTTCAGCTATTTTCTTTCTATTTCTTTCTTTTTTTCTTTATTTTTTTGTTCTATCTTCTTTATTTCTTTATTTTCTTTTTCTTTAAGGCGACCTTTTTCTTCATTTGTAACCTATTTTTATGGGGGTGGCTATTTTGCGTTAAATCTTTTGCGCAACTCGCCATAACTTTCTTCTAAGTTGGCCAATCTTTATGATTTTGGTGTCATTTTGTAGGTCTCAACAAGTGCAACAAAATGACACAAAAATCATAAAGATTGGCTAACTCAGAAGAAAGTTATGGCGAGTTGCACAAATGACCCATTTCTGTAAAAAATTTGCAAAGTAGCCACCTCCCTTTTTTCGTTCATTTTTTGACTAAAGTCAATTATTGTTTGTATCGATAAAATTCGTTTAATTAAAACTTAATTAAAAGATAAAACTTCAAATTTATCATTCAAAACACACAAGTTATCAATCCGCAAGTTTAAATACAAATACAAGTCGCCAGGAAACCTCTTTTAGTTTCTAAAGATATTGAACAAAAGAAGTTGTTAAATCGATAGTTAAATCGTTAAAAGCCATGATTTGTGTTTGTTTCGAAGCAAAAAACATTTTGAAAGAAAACTGTCAAAGTAGATAAATAATTTTTTTTCGAAAAAACGATTTAAAATAAGTGTGCAGAGTGAAGAAAGTTTTAAAAAAGTCCAAGAGATTTTCAGCTCTTAGAGAGAATAATGCTATTGCCTCGGAAATAAAGCAGTATCGATTCAAAGTTGAATAGAGCTTAAGATTGATTCTGAAGCTATGATTTTTCTCAAGCTATTTCGAGAATGTGTAGCTGCTGATTTCAAACGGGGATCAGGGGGCCAGTGAGGAAAAATTGAGGCAAAAAAAACTAGATAAGTAACAATTTAACTCCAACAAGCTACAGCTAAAAAATCAAAAAGAAAATCGCACTTCTAAAGCAAGAACTATTGATTCGGCTGAAGAAATCTAAAACAATGTGTATCAAGGATTGTAGGAGTGATCCGATTGAGGGAGGCCCGAGGGCCACAGTGTGTGTGTGTGTGTGTGTGGAGATGAAATGAAAAGCAGTAAAGAGAGAATATGGGCGAAAAAGAGAGGGCAAAGTGGAGAATGGGAGAATGTGAGGGGAATGCACGGGGGGACGAACGATCGATTTCCCGCATTTGCTCTTCTCTCTTTTCTCCCACATCCATTTCCCCAGCAGAAAGAGAGCAAAAGGGGGGCATCCAGGGCCTCCCCCATTTCCCTTTATCTTTCACTTTCCACCCGTTTTCCGCTCTTTCCTCACTCATTGCCCGTCTCGGCCACAAATCCGTAGATATTTCTCGCGCTCGCTTCACAGTAAAACTTCCTTTTCTTTCGGCTGATCGAATGAATGATACGTGAACGTAAAAATTTGATGAGGAAACACAAGTTAAGGCAAAATTAGTAGAAAGAAAATGAAGATTTTGTTAATTTTGGAAAAAGGAAGTTTTGCGAACGTCATTATCTAAAAGCTTAGGCACTTTTCGGTAATATCCCGCCATCAAAATGGGCTACAGCTTTTTAACATTGTTGATTTTTAAATCAACAATGAAACTCATTGAAAAGTCTTTAAGGGCATCAAAGAATAGAAAATCATGACCATCTATTAGAATAACTACATTATATTTACTAATAAAAAGTTGCAACAACAGCAACAGCAACAACAAACATTTGTAATACTAATGCGTAAGGAAGGATGATTCTATTGAAGAGTCTGCTTCTAATAGAGAGTTGGAATTAGAATAAAATATTAGAATAATTACGATAGTTTAAAACTCAAAGTTGACAAAATGAAGCTTTTATGGGGTTTTCAATTTTATGAAAAATGAGGTTCATAGCTGCTAAATTAGCCAAAAGCTTTCAGCTCTTGAACTGCGGATCTCGTGATTGAGATAGCCACATATGGAAATGGCCAGCTAGACACCTATGTGGACGAACGCCTATTGTGCGAGATTTAATATGCGTCGCTATCCGTTCAACTCCATTGTGTGCAAGACGAGACGAACGCCTGAGTTCCGTATAAAAGCAATGTGAACGAGCTGCCGTGATGTACCGTGGAGTGTCTCTACTCTCCCAATCAAACCACTGAACCCACTATTATTTCTGTAATAAAGATTATATCTAAAACAACAATAATCACTACAAAACCCAAAAATGGTAAAATGATGATTTTACCATGAGATTTTGCAATTTGACGAAAACTGTGGCATTAAAATCCACAGCTATTCATAACGTTACTCAAATACTGGTGATACTGGTACTGGCAATGATTCTTGCAGGATCATTGCCAATCGTAAAAATTCGATAGCTATGCCATTTGGTCTCTATTTTGAAACTAATAACATTAAGAAAGAGAATAAAGTGAACGAATCAACTCACGAATCAACTTCCCCAGAAAAGTGTCGAGCATTTTATTGCCTTTTCTTAGGAGTGATGCATCTGTGTCAAAGGTGTCCCCAACCCCCCAACCACTTCCCTTCAAACCGCAATAAATATGTAATGTCTGGGAAATTCGGGAATTTTGATTCTGTTGGGAAGAAAATTGCCCAAAAGAGGGGGAAAATTTTTTTAAACTAATCAAGTTGCAGAAAGAAAACGCCTCTTTGATGGGCTTTCTCTTCGTCGGGCACAGCTGAAAGTAATCAACTTTTGGAAAGGAAGCACCAACTCCATTGGAAACCTTTCAAAAAGCAGAGCACAATATGATAACTAGAAGCTTTAATATTTTTGTTCATCTTTTATCCACTCAATTGCTCGCTTGTTCGTTTCAAACCAATAATGGAAAAAACTTTTATCTAAAAAACTCTGGTGGGCAAGAAAATCGATAAGGACAGTCCTGGAATGACCGAGGAAGAAATCATCTCATATTAAAGAAAATGCATAGAAGTCAAGGAGAAATGAACACCTAGATAAATTATTGGGATCGATTTTAAAGCCATATTATATAAGAACTCCCAAAAAGGCCAGACGAGAAAGAACAACAGGAAGGCAAGAATTCGGCCTAACGTGAAAGAGCGGGGGAAACGTACAAGAAATATTTTAACAAAAGTCTACAAAAAAACAACACTAGAAAAAAAAGGCACGAAGAAGAAAGTGTAACATAAATGAAGTCGCAAAAGTTGGCAGCAATGAAGCCGAAATCCTAAAACAATTAGTTTATTCGAGTTCCAATAGCGTATTTTAAACATTTTACTCCCAATCAAGAGCCTTTTTATATCAAGAAGAACCATTTCATAACTTTTTAAACCTTCCATGAACTAGCTTGATTTTGTTTATAAAAGAAAACTCACCTATTTGTTCACCAATGCCCAGGAAGACTCGATTGTCCAAAGATCGTCTCGCCTAACATGAATGAAGAGAAACCACCAAACAAATGGTAGCGAGGTATCGTGTCCGCATTGGCCCATTCAGGAGGCAACTAAAGCAAAGTAAAACTTGAACCTCCATATTATATCAACTACCTCATCCTCCCAATTGATTGGTGTCACCGAGCGCCTTTCAGAAGTAGACTAAAACAACAATACAAACGCATTGAAAGAAGGCAAACATTTGGTTCGTTTGAAGTTGCGGTCTCAAAGTGGCTTCCTCCAGTGATCTTTTTGCTAATCGAAACTGGGTGAGCTGGATTAAGCCGTGAATACTAAAACAAAGCCAATAACTCTATTACAGACAAATGCTTACGCCTGCTTTATTCGAGCAGTTGGTGAATCCGATGTGAGAGACTGGCGAGAAGGAGGGCAATCCGTCTTCCGTAAACAATGGGTGTCGTTCGACAAATTCAGGAGGTGGCGTCATTTGTAGAGACATCAATGCTGGGATAGCCGGTGGACGGTCCATCGAGAGCCTAAAAACAGAGACTGTGACAATCACAGCCAATTAATGCTTTCAAAGATGCCAACCTTCCGCTGAGTGGTGAAGAATCGCAAACAGTGGTAGGTTTGACTCGAGCGAAGGCAGAATCAATCATCGTCGAGTCTCCCTTTGCCGTATATTGTGATAGTCCTCGCATTATCTCTTCTAATGGCGACAATGGTGCAGGTGGTCCCTCCTAAAAGTTGACTACAATGAGCGCATTTATTCTTACCAATAAAGTATCGAATCCTCCCCCAGTGATAGGTGGCAATAAAGGCGTAAGTGGACGCCAAGCTGGTGTTCCTCCGGGCACAATTGGTGGCGATTTTGATGGCTGAATTAAAAAATTAGTCAGCAAATCTTTCTTTGAATAAATTTCGTTAACAAAAGAACCTTGTTTCGTGCGATCTCAGTTTGAAATCGTCGGCCGTGTCGTGTTGTGCACGGTGCGGCCTAGATATTTATATATATTGGCACAAAATCTTCAAATTCATTTTGAACTAAAATAAAAGTAACTTACATAGAAAATGTTGCTGTGTCCGGGTGGGCTGTTTTGCGCCGACCCAGTTGGAGTACATGCATCACCGCCAGACACAGAAGTTGCTCCACTCTTTATCTCAATGCCGCTGTCCACACCTCCACAACTTGATCTCATCATATGGCGTCCACTGGCTGGAGTGATATTCTAAATTTTTGATTAGGTCTTTTTCACCAGAAAATTAAACCTCTGTTTGAACCGTAAGCGGCGTTGTCAATGATCGATGTTGAGTTGCGTCTGAGAATGTTCGTTTCACGGCTGATGGTGGTGGAGTGTTGAACTTGTAATATTCGTCGCCCGTCTCATCAACTGAGTCATGGAAATCTGGAAAGGAAAAACGTTAATAAATAAAATTATCACAAACTTGTTCCATTTAAACTTGAAGTGGCCCAACCCTCAGTATCCTTGTACAAAGCCATTGATTCACGTCTTGATGCAACATACTAAAGACGTGAATGAATATAGGCAATGTGAAAATTGTCACCTCGCTTGTAAATGAAGAAATTTCCGATTCAGATTCCGATGGAAGTTGTGTTCTTCCTTTGGCTCTTGGCTCGGGGAACAGTGTTTGTCCTTTCGTCCCATAGTTGAGTCGTGGAAGGCCGCTTTCTCGTTTCACCCGCTTCTTCTTTATTCCTTTTTGCGCTTCAAGTGCTTGCTTTTCTCGTTTCTAAATAAAATCAATCAACTAAACTTTAAAATAACCTTATACCTCTCGAGCAGTGTCATGATTTTCATCACGAACAACAACTCCACCCCCACATCGACATCTAAACACAAATATATAGTAAAACCAAGCTAATGCACCTTGCTTTAATTTATGAAACTAGTGTAGAAGTGTAAAAAACTAACCTGCAAACTTTTCCTACAAGCGCTTGCCCTTTTTTCTCCCATAAATTCTGTCGTCGTTGTCCATCGGTCCAGCCACGAGCAGAACCTAAGCATAAAATAGTTTTCACAAAACCAAAAAAGGCTCACCAGAGTTTTGTAGAATTTTAACAAGATGCTCCTCGAATGCATCCATACATCGATCGTGCACTAGTGTGGTCATGTGTGGGCAAGCAGGATTCGTACAGCACAACATTCGCCCCTCTTCATCCTCTCCGACTAGTGCTCCTAAAATAAAAAGTTCATTTGAACCATTAGAATAACTTTTAGTCTCTTACAATCGTAAGAAATCAACTCACCAACAAGGCAGTCGAGTGGCTCCGGTATTGGGCACCCGATCTTCGGTGGTGGCCCTCGTCTAGTTCGTGGTGTCGGCCGGGGTGAGGGGGATGTTCGAGCATCCTAAAAGAAAAAATATTTCTATATGATAGCTAAGAAATTGTCACTAAATTAGTTTTCAAATCATTTTAACATAACCGAGAGGCCTAGTAAAGTGCACGGAACGTTAGATTTAAGTTTCAGTCTTACATAACTGATACTACAAGTATAGCTAAACCAGAGAAAGGTCCTGTTAAATTTTTAAAAGTTCTAAAAATCACCTTCGTCACGGCTCGCTTGCTATCAGGTCGTCGTCCCATTTCGCTTCGTAATTGTAGCCGCGTCGTTTCTAAATGAAAACGAGTAAATAAGTAGATAGCGTAAGCAAAAAAGAAAATAAACAAGTTAGAAGTCGGCTTACGAAAAGAAAACAGGCAGGCGCGCGCGGGGGGGAATAACCTAGCGTAAGACGTAGCAGAATTGTCAACAGTTGGGCGCTTTTGGAGGAAAACAGCCGCCAATTGTCTCAAAAAAGCGCATAAATAAAGGAAAACAGGAGTAAACGTGTAAATTTACATCTCTAGATATGTAATTGCTCAAGCTAAGAAGAATAAAATCACAAGTTTCACTATTTCCAGAAAGTTCTAAACCGAAAAACGGTCAACAGCTCAAAATTTTGGCCTTTTTGGCACAAACGCTAGGAAAATTTTGACCACAAGATCGAAAAATTTGCAAAACATGGCAAAACCGTCCTGGAACACACGTTTCTTAGAAAAAAATATATGGGAAATGGAAAAGAGAGAAGGGGAGGCAGAGATCAATCGATATCCGGTGAATGGCCTATCGGTGAGAGGAAAAGGGCACTTTTGTGAAGGGAAAAAGTGAGAAGGGAGCTGGGAATAAGGAACGGACATTTCAAAAAAGTGAGCAATGATGACCAATAGTGATATGTGCAACGCAACGAGTTAAACAAGTCAACGAGTCGGAGTTAAACGAGTCTAAGCAATTGAAGTGTTTTTGACAAAATGAAGTTGGCGAGAAATTTTTTCGCTACGTAACCCATCGTGTTTCGCCAGAAATAAGTGCACAGTGGAAGACACAGCAAAATCGTTATCGTTTTCACTTGTAACCAATTTTGCATGACAAAAATCTTATTCAAATTCGATGAATTTTGTTGTTAATTGGTTCGCAAGTACCAAAAGGATTACCCTTGAGAAAAGATCAAAACATAGAACAATGGAATTTGATGTGTCAATGAGGGTCAAAAGGGGGGAAGGAGAAGATTGACACCTTGTGACCGCCGGCAAAACGATTCATTGTAGGTGGCAGAATTTGCGAGAAAAGAGTCACAACAGAGCAATCTCGCAGCTGGCCGAGAGAAAACAAAGCGATTTTCATCGCGTAGGCTATTCGAGTTTTGATTTGAGAATTTGGTGGGGTAAGATTATTATAGACCGTAATATTAGGTAATACAGGGTGCGAAAAAATTATGGAACGAACTTTGAAAACAGCTGTTCTGTGTTGTTTTTTCTGCATTTTGGTTTGAACAAAAGTTCTAAAAAGGATTTTTGATCATATAACGCCGCCATGGCCGACTGGCTAGGAGCCCTGTATCTTAGTCGTGAGGTCAAGGGTTCAATCCCGCCGGCGTTCTGAATAACTTTAAATTTATAGAAAATAGCTGGATGGATTTTACTGAAAATGTAACAGAGATTGATTTTTCTTTAACATAGAAACTTAGTGTCAGTCCCCATCAAAAAAGTTGTCAACCGTCGATTCTCGCCAATGTTGCCTACTCGTTTTTGCACTTCGGAAAAACCCCAAAAACTAAGGCTTATCTAAATTGTCAACAACCATTTTGCGGAGGAAATATAGGTCTTTCCAATGGTGCAAACCGTACTTCATTTGGTGCATTCAACATTTTTAAAACCAATTTTTAGTAAAAAAAGTCCGGTTATTTAGTTGACAACCTAATAAACAAAGGTCGAGCGTTTTGTTCTTTCCATTCCTTTGGCCACTTTCCCGTTGGTCGGTTATCGTGTTGAAATCGGCACAAGTGAGGGGAATTTCTTTTAAAATTGCTTTTTTACAGTAAGCAACGAAAACATCGAAACCTTGGCTACGTTTGCTACGATAGCGAGTACTTCAGCCCATCAACCTAGCTCCTTATGTCGTACTACTTTTGGAAAACCAGTTACACTTATTATTGGAGGGGCAATATCGACTACTACGCGGTGTCGATCTCGGTCGGCGATTCGCATCGATTCGCTCGTTTTGTGGAAGATTTGAAACCTGGTTTATTTGGTTTCTTTGAGGCTTTACTCAGTATTTCTAAAAGAAATTTTAACAAGAGATAAAATGATAAAATTAAGAGATAAAATGAATTAATCGCAAAAACTCATTCAAGGAATACTATCATCGCTTATCGTAGTAATACTATCATGGCATCTTTCAACTTTCAGAGCAAGACTGCCGTTTCAAAGCAAAAAAGGAATGACGACCTCAAACTTTTGATTGTGATTGGTGAGAAAAACAAAAATTGAGCAATTTCTAGAAAAGTAAACTCTGTAAACAAACCACCAAAATTCTTTGGTTCAAAATTTTTAAAATAAACCACCAAAATTGGTACGCTTGTACTTGGTTAGAGGTGAGAGGCCAAAAATGCTTTTATTTACGATCACTTTCGCCTTTCTTGGTTTGATCGTACCGTTTTTGATCACAAATTTCCCCGATCAACGTGTGAACTTCAACCAATACTCGGGCTTTTACTCGGTTGGAGTAAATGGAGATTGTCAACTTCATTATCGGTTTGAGAAAGAAATTGACACAAAACATTTCATAATGCAGGTTTCTTGAACCTCAAAACAGTCCAAGGATCAATCCTGTGGCTAACGGGAGGACCAGGATGTTCAGGCTTATCCACGCTACTCACCGAGTTTGGACTTTTCTTTGTGAGTTTTTGACTGATTTCTGCCATCTCATATCAACCTATACCAAACATAATATAATAACTCACCAATTTAACCATTTATATTATAGTTTTGGGCGTTTTAATGCGAGATTTAAAGAACCGGGAGTCAATATGTACATATTTAAGTGATCACTATCAAGAGAAAACTTATCGGGAAGATTAAGGATCTGTTATTTTATTAAAAGAGATTCTAATCCAGATTTCAACGCACTATTAGCATTGCAAGCTAATGCTGACGAAGAAACGCTGAAATCGAATTTATTTGCATGGAATCGAAACAGCTCTGTGCTCGTCTTTGAGGCACCAGCTGGAGTTGGATTCTTGTAGGTAAAAAACAGTGATATACAGGAGATGATGAGGTAGATGTTGAATAAATGATTTATAGACGGCTTCGGCAAATTGGCAATCACTCAAAGCTTTCTTCACTGTTTTCTCTTAGTATCAAAACAACACAACATTATATAAATCAATCTTTAGCGGATTCTCGACCAGTTGCCCGATTGGAGTGTTTGCAAGTGAGTTCAGATGCCTAACGGATTGAAAACTTAATATTTTTGCGTTGGCTTTACTCAGCTAAAATTTAAGATGCTGTTTACCTGGTTTCCAGCAACAAACCCTCAATAGCTTTTCACATTTTTGGACTGTTTTATAAAGTTTTTGAATATGGATTCTTGTTCTGTTTTTGTTTTTTATTTACAGTTTTGATAAAAATAGATTCATCAAAGTATTCAACTTTTGGTTTCAATTTTGGGATTGATGCGGCTAGTGATGCTCATGATGAAGATGATGATGTGATGAGGTAGATCTGGAAAAGTTCTATTTGAGATTGTCTCAGATTATGAGTGCTTTGAGGTTCTGTTCGAATGATGTTAAGAAGCCGACTTCTCTGCATGATGGCGTTGCTCGACTGGATTCCCGTTGTAGAGCGGGTCCTCGTTGGTGTGTTTAAAGTTGGCAAAAGCGGTGTGACTTTTGTGCGGATCGATATGCGGAAGTACGTGCGGATTCTATAGAAGAGATATTGAGAATGCTCGAACTATCAATTCATTCATTCATCAATAACAAGTTTGAAATGTCATTTCGTCATTTCTGGCATCTTGTTCATACAAACGTTTTTACTTTACACACTTTTATAAAAAGAATGTTAGGGAAATGGGGAATAAGTTTTAAATGTGAACTTTTTCTAAAGGAGATCTAACTATTCTATTAGGTTAGTCAATAAGTAATGAGCCTCTCCTTTATCTAAACTAAACCATAGTAATCTTTCTGATCTTTTAGTACGATAATTATCAAAGAGATTAACATTATTTAACAGATTAACAGATTAACATTAACGAACTCAATCTGATTCCTTATTGACTGATAGAATCTTACCGGTGGATTGTTTGGAGTATGATCATTGGACAACGGATCCTCCCAAGTATGCTTAAAGTGCGCGAAAGTCTCGTGGCTCTCGTGGGGATTTTCGTAGTGGTGGCTCATTTCTTTAGAGGAAAAATAGAATTCCAAAAATGTTAGACTGCGTTTTTGAATTAGGCTTATCTACCTTTTATTTTCTTCTCTTTATTCATTCTAACGAGGTTGTATCTTCTCTTTGGAAGAGAACAGGAGCGTTTGTTGTTCTGAACTTTCGTCTTTTGTGATAAAAAGTGCTCATGTGATTGTGACGGAGAGAAATGAATGTATCCCCTCCCACACATGCTTATGACACACATGAGTAACACTGAATTGACTGTCTGATGACACGACTTGATTGTCATTGGTTTTTGGGTTTTTTTTTGATCATTTGCTGATTAAACTTGTTTATGAAGTGTTGTATTTGAGTTTTTTTGAATCAACCATTTCTGCACTCAATCATCGTTTGTCTATTGCACAATGTTCTTAATTTTTTTACGATCGAATCTTTGTTGAAAAGTCTGGAGTCAGTGGAGTTGTGAAATCGGATCTTTTAGGCACGAAATTCCCACCCAAATTCTACTCAAACAACACGAAATCGAAAAAAACGTTCTTCTTTTTGCCACTTTAGATGATCACTTTAAAACTTTCCATATTACTATTAGGTTGATGCATAAGTCTTTTTGTTCCTTTTCGTCTGCCGTTTCAAGCCAACAAATGCACCAATTAAACTACGGTTGATTTCATTAGAAAAACCAATTATTTTTCTGCAAAATAACATTAAAGCGGGTTTAAAAATATTTTATGCCTGGATTTTCTTGAGAGTATGAAGTCGGGTAGTCAAAAAGGGCTAACTCGATGATGCGGTTTAGACACCTTAGCTAAAGAAAACCTATCTTCGTGTCAATAGATAAAAGATAGAGAAAAAAAAAGTTTGATATTTCGCCAAAATTT